TGAAGGCTCTTGTGGTTTAATCTATAGTAAACATGTAACCAACGGCCAACCTCTCGTGAAGGCTCTTGTGGTTTCGATCTATAGTAAACGTGTAACCAACGGCCGACCTCTCGTGAAGGCTCTTGTGGTTTAATCTAGGTATATAGAAAACGTATAACCAATGGCTCACCTCTCCTGAGGGCTCTTATGGTACGTTTCAAGTGTGTATGTTGCGTACACAATCATTCTCAAGGCTATCCGCTTGTGGAAGCTATTGGAAAACGCCCCACAATGTGGTGTAAGTACCTACAAGAAAAAACTTACCAAACTGACGACAACGAATGCGTCCTCTCGCCGGTTTCGCCCAATTATCCAATTCCTGCATACACTCCATCAGTTTTCCTATCTGCTTGCGACGTTTTCGACCCATTTAGTAGGAAAATCACCAAATTAAATTGAAAAATTTTCCAGGGTACGACGTGACAGGTCGTGCACAAAGAAGTACAATGATGTTGCCAGTGAGATGACCATAGAGTATAAATATTTTTTTTTATGAATGTGTTCATCTTTAAATATTGTGACAGCGTGCCCAGATTAGTGCCTACTACTAGTATAATTAGCGAGGATGACGCTACCTATACAATTAACATTATCTAAATCTCTTTGGCCTTTGATATCTTTATTACATTTTACGTAGAACATTGTTTTTTCTTCTAAGGTACTTGGTGTATTAGTCAAATGCGACTGCCTCGTTGGCCTTAATCAAAGGGTCAGGCAAAGTAGTACTGGGATTTCAAAATCTCAGTAGTAGCACGTCGTAACAGTCTGGAATTGTGCCCGGTATATGGCAATAGGTTAACCCCCTATTACATGGGACTCATAATATAAATAGTGAAAAGTGGGTGTTACATTTTACAGTGGCATTAAGTGCCGTAATGGTGCACATTGCCCTGCCCTACCCCTTCGGGGATAAAAAGGCGTGATGTTATGTTATGTAATCCCCACGTTTTGCCGTAATATACTTAATCGTGAATATCTCACCAGTATCCAGATATCCTGTTGATCAGTGTCTGCGGGAAGTACTTGGCGACTAATGACGCGATGATGACGGCAGCTGAAGCTTCTTGGTACTCAGAGCTGAAGAATATCATCAGCACTCCTACACACTGAAATTATATCATTTATTTTAGTAGTGTTATTTGTTAGGGTTAGTTTTTATTCAGAGGAACTATCCTCTGAAGGGACTATCTTATTAGAAACTAGACATTCTTTATTCCAATTCCGATCGATCGACATTGGTATTGTAAAATTTCGTACTCTAGAGTTGCAACATAAGCGCCCATTGCATTCGTATTGCATGGATATTTGATGAACTAAATGGTATTGAGTTTCGTTTTATATGCCGTACTCTGGATGCTATTTTAACAGCTACGATTGTGGTTGTATAGTTTTGACATTGAATAATTATTGAGATTTTATTGGATTGACATTGCATTGACATTGAGATGGGTTCTTCAAGAGTCAGTACCCAGTTCATTGATGGAGCATGGGTCTCCTCAACATAAGAGACGCCATATTTTCCAGGCTTGGAAGGCGGTGGACATTGCAATTTAAAAAAAAACAGGTTTATCTAGAGAGTACAGTTGTTGATCAGTCTCTGTTAAACGAGATGTCCCTTAGTCGGTTTTTAAGACACCAGCGGGAAGAGTAAGCATGCATGAAGCAACCTATAAATAATAGGGTAGTAGGGTAGGCAGTGAATGAAAATTAAAAATGTAATTAGTCCATCAGTTAGATAATGGAAAAATATTAGACACATATTTTTTTACTTTATCGTATAAGAAAACACTACTTAGATAAAACGGGGTTAAGGTCAAGGAGTGGGAGGTCGTTACGTCACGCTACCGTATAAAATGTAGTAAATCGTGACGTCATACATACGTACAATATTGGAATATGTATCAGAAACATTGTAGAACATACTTTTTTTTTAAAAAAGAGTAACGAATGGAGTTTCTTACTCGTTCTTCTCCATTCGAATCTACATTTTGGAATGAGCACCTAGCTTCATCTAGCTTCACTGACGGACTGACTGACAGACTATTATTTATTTTTTATTTGATTCAAAAGTACCAAATTGTGATTTAATTGAAATAAATGCTTTGACTTTGTCACATGATATTTCAAATCAATATATGGACGAAAGTATTTAATTTTGTAAGAAAAGAAAAAATACGTGTCTAATGTTTTTAAATAATCTACCAGACGGACATTAAAATAAAATTTAGGAAACTACACTATTAGTAAGTTATCCCTCACCTGTAAAGTCCACATGACCAAATTCTTGCTCCTTTGATTCCTCGGCGGTCCTATTCTGTAGCAGACTACGAAACTGACGAAGCTTATGATCATGGTGTACCAGAACATATAAGTTTGGTATGTCAGTACTAGTGTGCGAATGTTCTCCCATACTTGTTGGAATAGGTACACTCCTACTGTCCAACCGCCGATTAGGATGCCATACGTTAATGTTTTCTGAAATTTGTTAAAGATTTGTCAGTGGGTTTTGGAGATGCGTTTTGGGAGCCTCACAGAAAACCGACGTAAGGCAACGCTTGCGTTGTGTTTCGTCGTGTGAATGAGGTTACTGGAGGCCAATTTGCCCCCTCCCTTTCCCCAATGTCCCCAATCCTCGAATCCTCTACGATTCTCAAATTCCTAATCCCCAAAAGGCCGGTAACGCACTTGTAACGCCTCTGGTGTTCCAGGTGTCCATGGGCGACGCAGATTGCTTACCATCAGGCGATCCGTCTGCTCGTTTACCGGCTTATTCCATAAAAAAGGATAGTGTAATTTTGACTTGTGATAACTATGATGTTAGTTTTCTTACAAAGGTATGCTATTTTAGGCAGTGTGAAGAGCACCGTCTTAAATAGATACATTATTTTCTTAACACCGGGCGACCTTATTGCCGCAAATGATGCTTCTACTAAATTAACTCGTACACAATCACCTGATATAAATATCCAAAATTTGTTCATGCAAAAGTAGTCTCTAAACATCGGAAATAACGTATATAATGGACTGGAGGGCAGTCACCGGTAACCGCTTGGGGATTGATCAGTTATAACACAAAACAATAGCTCTCATGATCAAATGGATCCCATAACTAAACTTAGAACCTTCTTTAACTCGTCGAGTACCGGTTTTGTAGACACAATTATAGAACAATAGGTTGCGGTCACCGGTGACCGCTTGGTGTTTGACAGTTTAAATAGAGTTTAAAGTTTGTTTTTACTCACCCTGGGCAGCAACTTGCTGACGTAGTACACAAGCACCATAAACGAAGCGAATACTCCAACAAAGATCCCACACAGATAGAAGAACACGGGGTTCCCGCAAAGAGCGCGCGACGAGAATATCAGCACCAAACCCGCAGCCATCAACATTATACGCCATAGGTCTACTCCTGGAAAAGAAAATAGACGATTTAATTTAATAAATACTTTTTATTTAAAGGCCTGTGGTATATCTTAAATGTTTTAATCTTTATTAATCCCTTAAATTTATACTAACTACCAATAACTCAAAATCAAGTATCCCTTAAATTTATACTAACTACCAATAACTCAAAATCAAGTGAGTATTTCAATATATGTAAAAATAGGGACATAAAAATTTTATATTTCATGGGCCAAGGTTTGACCATTATCTCGCCTGCTGGTAAGCAATGATGCGGTCTACGATGGAGCATGTCTTCCCATAAGCAACCTATATCATCAAAAAAATGTTCTTGAAATCCAAGCCACTAGACCTATATATTTATGATCATAATAGATGGTGAGCAAAAGATATTAAACCCGTACTTACTCAAAACTTGTAGTTCAATAGTGTGCCTGTCTCTCGTGTTGATAGCCATACACGTAGGAGTAAAGAGGTTGATAGATACAGACTTCTGTGGTTTCTTCTGGAACGGATTGACAACGGAGGACCAGCCGTAACTGTCCTCCGAGTACTCCTTGTACACATCCGCTGGTGACTCACCGATGTACTGACTGAACTCATTGCTCTTTATTTTTATGTTGAACTGAAATAATAATAAGATTGCATGTGTAAGAGCAGATGGATCACCTGATGGTAAGCAATCAGCAGACCCCCGAAACACCAAAGGCGTTACAAGGAATCCTCAAATTTGTAATCCCAAAAGGCCGGTAACATAAGGTCTGTATCCTTTCTTTTGTTTGAACCACCAAAAAGAAATTAATATTAATTTTTTTTTAAAACATTGGTACTTAGTGGTCAAAGAAATGGTATTGCTAGTACCTTCTGAATTTCAAATTATTTTGAGGTTACATTTATTCAATTCTTATTGCTGTACACATATAAAGTACATTGAAGTTGCTACCTTATAGGTGCTTGTTAAATTAAATTAAGGACTAAAGACTATTCTATGAATTTTATTGCAGGAATATTTAATTACTGTGCATTTTCGTTAACAATCTATTTAATCGTTTTACCAAGTCATTATTAAGAGAAGATGCATAATTTGTATCTGTATCATATTTTTAACTGCCTCGTTGACCGAGTAGTCGCAAGTGCGACTGCCGGCAAGGGGTCTCGGGTTTGATAACCGGGTCGGGCAAAGTATTGCTGGGTTATTAAAAAAAAATCTCAGTAGTAGTACGGAGTCTGGAATTGTGCTCTGTGCCCGGTATATGGCAATAGGCTCACCCCCTATTACTCATACTCATGACATAAATAGTGAAAAGTGGGTGTTACATTGTACAGTGGCATAATGTGCACCTCTGCCTATCCCTTCGGGGGTAAAAGGCGTGATGTTATATGATGATGTTGTCATATTTTTAACTTACCTTTACAGTTTGCCATATAGCAAACACATTTTTAGAAGTCCCCCTATAGCAATAAATGTCTACAGTTTGTTTCTTAGGGGATGGCACATCTCTCTCTATTGTTGTGGGGCCCCCTAGCCAGTGGACTGCAAAAAAATAGCAGATGCATGAAGTTTTTTCTTCAAAACTTAGTAAGTTACTGTTATATCTTTAATGAACAATGTTATTTCAACTCTATTTTCATAGAAATGATATTCTAGCATCTTATTCATTTAAAGCTTCTCTTATGTTAGATTCTTTCCATATTATAATATTATTGCATTGATTAGGTAAATAAATTAGGCATGCATGTTAACCTCATTTGTAATGATTGTAAGAGGTCGACCAACAATCTTGTTATGTAGGTTAGATAACAATCTTCGAAAGATTCAAAACTCATCCAATGCAGTACTCAGAAGTTTAATATAACAATAGAGCAAGCCATGGCTTTCTCGTTATTGTATTACACAACGTTTAGCAATGATCATAAATTAGAGAGCCTATTAAAAAATAATTTATGTCTAAAATATCATACCAAAAGAGGTTTTACTTACCATCATACGGCAATGGGTACGAAAATTTAATTAACACCGTGGTTATAAACAACAATAACAACAAGTAGCGTCCGTGGCCGCCCATGTTTGTCTTGATTTTTACATTACAAACTCATGAAATTAACCTCTCATTATCACACCGCTTGGTCACTGAACGACATCTGTGCATTATCTTATTTTTAGCACATGTAATTCGGAGATTATTAGCAAAATATCGAGAGTTTGAAAAAGTGATCTAAGAATAGCCACAAACAACTTTCACAATAATTTAGCTTGACAGTCGACATTGACAGATGGTTTGCTTTTTGACTTTTGGTTTTTACATCGCAACTTATGTTTTTTATTTCTTGACTTGGTAATAGTACTTTTTATCTACACAAGGACTAGATGTAGTGCATGTCCGGGTCAAGGACATTCTTTGGTTTTAGTGCATGCAGTTTTGTCGTTGAGATATAGTGCATGCAGTTCTGCCGTCGTGGTTGCTTCTATTGGATGAGCCATATTAAAAAAAGGAAATTGAATGTCTATGTACTGGGTAAAGGATAGTAAACTGTCAAACACCGAGCGGTCACCGGTGACCGCAACCTTAGGCATTTAGCTAATTCTGATGAGCCATAACATCGGTTATATTTTGTATCTTAGCCATTTGACATGGATAATTGAGGCAATGGGGGCTAACCTTTTATTACTCACCAAATGGCGTAAATGCAGGAAGAAGTTATTTGTGTAAAATGTAGGGCCCATTTTTTTTAATTTTAATATATTTATTTAAACAAAACTTTGCTCCAAACTGGGTCGTGGGTGCGTTTACAAAATTACAACAACCTGTGGATCACACAAAGACTTGTTCCGTGCGGGAATCGAACCCGCGACACGTCGCCAACAGTTGCCCAGCCATCGCACCAACCGTGCAGTTAATTATTATAAAGCATTAATTTAACGTCCAATGTAATTAGCAATAGTTAATGGATATCTACAATTTTTCTTTTAATACTTGTTTACCAATCGTTGTGATGGATGATTATTTAAGAAGATAATGGAATATCAACGGCCATCGTTTTATCGCTTACACTTTTTAGAGTTTGCATAATATAGCGCACCTCTTATGTCAGAGCGTAGATCTACGCGAAACACAGTGCGTTTTCTATTGTGTCTTAAATACCGATATACACGAGGTTAATCTCCTATGAGGTACCTCTACCTAGAGGTGAACATTTAAAACGTGATATCCGTTTTTCACTAACATCACGGCTTCTATCCTTGAAGGGGTGTTACATGCCACTGTACAATGTAACACCCACTTTTCACTATTCATGTTATGAGTCCCATGTAACAGGGGTGAGCCTATCGCCATATACTGGGTACAATCCCAAACTCCGTACTACTATTGAGATTTCTTTTTAAAAACCCATTAAACTTTGTCCGACCCGGAAATCGAACCCAAGACCCCTTGCTCGGCAGTCGCACTTGCGACCACTCGGCCAATGAGGCAGTTTGAGACGAGAATATCCTTATTACTCAAATCATGGGTGAAATAAATAAAAAGATATGAATACTCTCATCATGTTTTTATTTGGTAAAGCATATACAATAATGGAGTGGTCATGTATTAACAGGATAACACACTAAGGCACATGCACGATCTGCTTTAAAACCTTGTACTTTAAAAAAACTTGTACATAAAATAACCTGAACATTTACTGCAACTGAAGTAAAAATACAGGAATGTTTGCTTAAATACTGTTCAAAACACTTATTGTTAATAAATTTATTATAATGCTATTAAAATAATACAAAAGCTACCATTCAACAGTCTTAGGACAGGAATGTTCAAATAAATATACTTTCTCCATTTTAAAATACTGACCGAATTCATTTTTATTACCACTGAATTACGAATCACAGCTTACAAGAAATAAGTATAAATAAATATTTTTATTATTTCATTTTTAAATTAGTTGTTAACTGATTTCGATGTGAATTCCATTAAAATAAGTTTACTGAATTATCAAACACATTATATGCTACGGAATAATTAGAGAAATTATTTTCGTTTATATTAAATCAAAAATATATTATGTCACTTTTTCTTATTCACATAATTCACGATTTCTAATTTATTTGTATCCTACAAATACACAAATGAAAATAGTAACGGATAGTGTCGAAGTTACAGGAATAGATTTTTGGAATGACAAGTCGACATTCATAAATCCAAGATATAATTTTCGTGACTTAAATTAGCATAGCTATGTTAAAATATATTAATTTCTACTGTAAACCTGATAGTTGCCATGCAGTTTCTTCAAAATCTAAAATGAAAGCCACACATTCATGGCATAGGGTAGTTGCCAGGGTATGATAATTAAAAATGTAATTAGTTAGTCAGATAATGAAAAAATATTAGACACGTATTTTTTTTACTTACTCGTATAAAGTTACAATACTTAGATAAAATGGCGTTAAGTTTAGGAGTGGGACGTCGGTCACACGATGTTTCAAATTAATATATCGTCGAAAGTATTACATTTTGTGAGAAAAGCTAAAATACGTGTCTAATGTTTCAAATTATCTACCAGACGGACATTAAAATATTTAGGAAACTACCCTATTATTGACAAACCATTGAAAAGCTCAATAAAATCACACAAGCTGTCCAATTATTATAAACTGCATAGTTTTACAATGAAATGATATTGTAGCAAAGTCAGATTTAAACTATTGATACGCAACATTTTAAGGCACGGCGATACAGTTTATATTTATCTCACTTTTGAACATATTTTATCACAATAAATAGGGATTTCATTTAAAAGATTTGTATATAAAAATTTGTGTGTACTATCCGACTTTGCTGCTACGGAACCACATTAATATAACCTTAATGACCTTCAATTATATTGCACTATCATAAGTCTAGGAACCTGGAAAGGCACGTTGAAAGAACTAAGTAATTCCTCTATTCAATAATCTATCTTATGTGTGTTATAATAAATTTCAAATTCCTAGTTGTGTGGAATACTTTGCGATTTTGCGACGTCGTTTCTAAATTTCACTAGGTCCTTGGTGGAAGGTGATATCTGAAACAGAAGACAGCAATAAGTGGAGTATAGAGATGGTTTAAGTTGACGTTTTGATGTGCATAAATTGGACACCCCATCAATAAAACGAAGGTAAAGTTCACTTCTTATAAGATATCAATGCAACACGGTATGATTATCAGCCAAAAGAGATCTAGTGTTGAACAAAGAGTTGACCTGTGGGAGAATTTATGCTTCGGCACTGCTGGGCTGGCTCGACCGGAGGGATACCACCAACGACCAGAAGACCATAGTGAAACAACACATGCGTTGTGTTTCGTCGTGTGATTAAGGTTACCGAAGTCCCAATTACCCCTCCCCCTTGCCTTAATCTCATGAATCCCTGAACAATCCTCTAATTCCTAATCCACAAAAGGCCGGTAACGCTTTGTCACGCCTCTGGTATTCCAGCTGTCCATTAGTGATGCTGATTGCTCACCATTAGGTGATCCGTCTGCTCGTTTACCGGCTTATTCCATAAAAAAGGAGGTCAATATTAAGGAATGACATTGTTGTAGCGATAATGACGGTATTTAAGAGGCTGGTCGCAGTTTGAAGATATACTCAGGTTCTAGTAAGCTTCCACCAGTGGTAAGCAAGGTACATTACCTAACGCTTGCGCTGATCATGCGGCGTGTACTGGGGCCCGCCATGCCGCGCCCACTCTCGCTCGAACTCGTGTTCGAGTATCTCAGCGCCACGCTTGCGAGTCAGACCTGTCTCCTCCAGGCTCAACTCACACATCTGCATGTCGTCCACTCCTGGTAACAGACAAAAATGTTTAATGCTTTGGGAAATTCAAGTTTCGGCACGAATAGGTCTGTTGCATTGAGGTGATACTATGCCTCACAGAAAACCTTAGAGAACACAACTTTCGCGTTATGATTTCCTGGGTGACGTGAGACCTAGTCGCTCCCTCACCCCCAAAGAGCCAATAACTTTCTAAAACCAATGCAAGTCCTGAAAGCTGTGATGTAAAGTAGATACATCTATAAAAATGGCAACGCAAGTGTCCACGATCGCTGCTGATCAGCAGCTCTAGCCAAATGCCATTTAGCGCTTGTCTACTTGTAGAGTAGAAAACTAAATTAAATGGAATTGACGTAAATTTTGACACTTATCAATGCCATCCTCATACATTTTGATTTCTACTCCCTCCGTAGACAAGCGCTGAAGTGGCGATTGGCTAAAGGCACAGGTGATCCACCTGATCATTAGTCTACTTTGCCTCATAAAACATTGGGTATTTACTATGTAGAACTGCTACTCTCTATGGACTCGTGGTTTGTTGGCACATAGATCTAAATGAGACACAACACAATGTATTTCCTATTACATCTTATATATGAGCGCAGCCAATAAGTCACTAACCGGCCTGCAGCAGCACGGGCGTCTTGTCGGGATGTAGTTCCATCTGCCTGGCGACGTACTGTCCGTCGAAGTGCGCGTACCACCAGCCGCGACGCTCGCTGTCGGCGGGCGCGCCCGGCCCGCCCGGCGCGCCCGGCCCGCCCGCGCGGACGAACGGGATGCGGAAGTAACGGTGGCGGGCGCCTAGGATCTCACCCTTTTGGGGGACTCGAGGGGTTTTTGCTGAGGAATTATTTGGTTTATGAGTTACTGTAGAAATAGGGGACAAAAGCTTGAATAATCTTTGTACAAAACAATGTTATACTCCAATGTTCAACCGCTAAAGTTAAGTCGAGGTAAGTCGTCTTTAGAATGTGTTGATAGTAAACATCACAACAGTTTTAAACTTCATTCATAGATTTAAAAGCAGTTTTAGTCAAAAAAAGCCCACATAAAAGAACATGACACTAGCGTTTCTAAAGAAGTCTAAATTATCTTACCAGCATCCATAATCGACTGTGGCGCCCTCTCCTGGTCGGCCATGGTAGTCTTGCGGGCGTTCTTTGCCTTCCATGCGTGGTATACCTTCAGGCGGCGGTGGAACTCATGGCGGCAGGCCTAATATTGGATTTTATATAGTCTCACAATTCGAATTTTCATAACAACAGGAGTAAAAAAAGAAAAACAAGGCTCATGAACAACTTTGCCAAGTCAATACTTTCTTAACAAATGTATCTTTTACCTTCTTCTTCTAACATAACAGTGAATACTAATTTAGTACCTAAATTAATAAAATCCAGCACAATTTTATGTTTTGAAAATATAATAAATAACAATAAAAAACGTTTACAAAAGACTTATTTCAGAGACTTACCTCCAAAAGTTCAATATCACATGACGTGTTAATAGTATCACGTAGTTCCGAATACTTCCATTTAGACAAATCGTATTTTTGCTTGCCCTGCATAGCTTGCTGCATTCTTACGCGTTCCGACCTGTCGTTTGCATAGAAAAACGTCAA